GCCTTCGAGAGTCAGAGCTCCCTTCATTGTATCCCCCCCCCCGCCACCGCCAAAGCTTGTTGGTCTCTTCAGTGCTGTCATCAGCCCCTGAACGTGTTCCCCTGAACAACAGTGAATCTGCTCATCTTGTCGCAGCCAATCTGGTATAGCGATTAAGTGCGTGGACTCTAATCTGGGAGAACTGGGTTTGAGTCCCCACTCCTCCTCCACTAGCACCTGGCTGGATGGCCTTGGGCAAGCCATAGTTCTGATAAGGGCGGTCCCTGAAAAACAGCAGTTTCTGTGAGAGCTCTCTCAGCCCCACTGACCTCACAGGGTGTCTGTTGTGGGGAGGGGGAGGGAGAGGAGTTTGTAAGCCGCTCTGAGACACCTTTGGGTAGTGAAGGGCCATGGGGTAGAAATCCAATCTCCTCCTCCTCCTCTTCTTTTTCTTCTTCTTCTTCCTAGCAGAGAAGCAAAATGTGAAGAGCGTTTTGAGGTGAAGCACAGCCGATCTCAGTGTGGCTGTCTTTCCTGGGGCTGGTAGGGGCTGGAAGGAGATCCGGCTGTCCTCGACGGGGACCGGGGCTATTTCGGCCCTGGTACCCACCTGGTGGGACTCTCTGCCGGAAGACATCCGTGCCCTGCGGGAGTTCTTACCTTTCCGCAGGGTGTGTCAGGCAGAGGTGTTCCGCCAGGCCTTTGGCTGAGGACAGCGATGGGACAGTCCGACATCCGGCACTCTCATCTACCCTCCCCATCCTGTGTTAACCCCACCCCACCCTCGCCCAGAGCCTGGGGAGCTGAACTTTCTCTTTTCTTTCCGCCATCTTGTAATGCATGTTGTTTCTTTACTGAGGTGTTTTTAGGGAAGTCTGGTGCTGGCTTTAAGTTAGATTATTTAGAATCATAGAATCACAGAGTTGGAAGGGATCTCCAGGGTCATCTAGTCCAACCCCCTGCACAAGGCAGGAAACTCACAAATACCTCCCCCCCCCACACACACACACCCAGTGATCGCTGCTCCATGCCCACAAGATGACAAAAAAAAAACCTTCCAGGATCCCTGGGGGCAAACCGGCCTGGAGAAAAATTGCTTCCTGACCCCAACGTGGCGATCAGCATTTCCCTGGGCGTGTAAGCATTATATTATCATCATCATCATCATTATTACTACTACTACTACTACTACTACTTCTACTTCTACTATTACTATTATTACTATTATTACTATTATTGTTGTTGTTTGTATTATATGCTGTCTTGTTGTAAGCCACCCTGAGCACTACTTGTAGAGAAGGGCAGCCTAGCAAATCCAATTTAATAAATAAATGAATAAATAAATAAGGCTCAGAGGGCTCTGCATCCGTGTTGCCTTTTTTCCTCTTATGGTGGGTATCATCCACTCCTGCAGCCGTTGCGCCCTTTGAGAAGCTTCTCGGTGGGGCTGTGCAGAAGCCAGTGGGCATCCGTGCCAAGGGCTCTTTCTGAAGATCGGCCTTCAAGAAGATGAAGTGGCCCACCCCTCACCATTCACGGACTCAGCCGGAAGCAGGCCGGGCAGAGGTCCCTCCCTGAGCAAAATGCCTCCCCTGCAGAGTGTCCTGCCCTGTTGTGGCATCTGGCTCCTGACGTCCCGGATTCCACTTGAGGTCGTCACCAGTTTCTTGCTTGATGCTTCCCAGAAAGGCACCCCCTGGTCTGTGCACACCCCCGCCTCTGCTGTTCTAGGAGGAAGGAGGAAGGAGGGTGGCGGCAGGCTCCCCCGCCTTGAGCCTCTCCTGGGCAAAGGGAAGGAGGAGGCAGCTGGAAGGTGGAGGGGACTGGAGAAATCTCAGGTCCACGCAGAGGAAGGGACCCTGAGTGCCGCAGGGAGGGGGAGGCGCTCAAGAAGCATTTGGGGATTTCCCACTCCACGCCCCATGTTTGCGTCTTTCCATCTTGTGGCAATCGTCTCTTGCATCTTCAGCATCGGTACAACTGGACCGGTCTGTCTCTCCAGCTGCAGTCTGTTTGCAATCCAGCAGACAGGTGTGGCTGTTTAACTCACAGGGAAATTTCCTGGCGGGCCCCTGCCCTCTGCGGGGGGGGGGCGGGGGCGGAATAGGAGCAGTGGCGGCCAGGAGCAGGCAGGACCAAGGCCCAGCCGCCCTACCCAAGCCTCGAGGACTGCTATGCCTAGACACCCCCCCCCCCAATCAGCCACGGCTAGGGCTGACAGCTCTGGGCTGAGATCTTCCCGAGGATTTGGGGGCAGAGCCAGGGGGTGGGAGCAGGGATGCTAAAACTATTGTCCATCGTCTTCATTGGGTACCCCAAAAGTCCAGTATTTGGGGAGAGGGCTTTACAAGCTGTGTCTGGATGGCTCAAGCTAAGCAGGTTGAAGTTAAACCCGGCGAAGACAGAGGTCCTGTGCTTGAGTCAGACCGGATCAGGGCTAGGGCTCCCGCTCCCGGCCTTCGATGGGGCGCCTCTGGTGCCAGCTTCAGAGGTTAGGAGTCTGGGAGTGCTCCTGGACCCCACCTTAACGATGGAGGCCCAGGTGGCGGCCACTGCCAGATCGGCCTTTTATCATCTACGGCTGGTACGGCAGTTGGTTCCTTTCCTTGACTGCAACGACCTAGCCACCGTGATCCATGTGACGGTCACCTCGAGGCTAGACCACTGTAACGCTCTCTACATGGGGCTGCCTTTGTCGCAAATCCGGAAGCTACAGCTGGTGCAGAATGCTGCGGCCAGGTTGTTGGTGGGCGCCCCGAGTTGGGAGCACATCCGACCTGTGCTGAAAGCGCTGCACTGGCTGCCTATAGCATACCGAATTCACTTCAAAGTGCTGGTGCTTACCTTTAAAGCCCTACATGGCCAGGGTCCGACTTACCTGAGGGACCACATTTCCCCATATATTTCCCAAAGAGCACTTCGGTCGGGGTCGCAACACCAGCTGGTGACCCCAGGCCCCAGGGAGGCCAAATTTGTGACAACAAGGGCCAGGTCCTTTTCTGTGGCGGCTCCTACCTGGTGGAATGAGCTCCCGGAGGAGATCAGGGCCCTGCGGGACCTTGTGCAGTTCCGCAGGGCCTGCAAGATGGAGCTCTTCCGCCAGGCTTATGAGTAGGAGCCGCCACAGCCACTACCACCACCGCTTTTTCCATCAAGCGAGACTACCGGGGGGGAGGGGTAACATCTTTACCACCCCAACCTCTCCCACTGTGCGTAGGATGTTATTTGTGAGTTTATGTATGCATCTGTAGTATTGATTTTAAATTGTTTTAACCTTGTATTTATATTTGTATTTGTAGTTTGTACATTGAATGCACATGGTGCTTTGTGTGAGCCGCCCTGAGCCCGTTCGCGGGGAGGGCGGGGTATAAATGTAATAAAATAAATAAATAATAATAAAACGTTCTATCTTCTTTCTCAACCACACACATAATTTTACATTGTCTCTTTTCTCAACTGAGAAGTCCCAGAGACTCTCCAGCCTGTTCCTCCTCGGGAAGGGTCTCCAACCTCCTCATCCTCTCGGCTTCCCTCCTCTGTACCTTTTCCGGCTCTGAAGAGACGGGGACCAGAACTAGGCACAGAATTCCAAGTGAGGCTGCACCATAGATCTATACGGGGGCATTACAATACCAACCTTTTTATTTTCAATCTCTTTCCGAATAACCCGTTAACGTAGTAGTAAAATTTATTGTCTAGCCATTGGCCATTACAATTTAAATTTAAACGATATACAAATTAGACAACTTACAGCACTGGAATTTGAATTAGATTTAGTATTCAGTATTTAAATTAATTAAAATCTTAAATATAGATACCCATCTCCAGAAACACATACACATTGCCGTTTTACATTGCCGTTTTACAGTTCAATTTCATTTCATTTTCCTCTGTTCTTGGCCCTGATTTTAGTAGCCGCTAAGGCAAAGAGTGCCCCCCTATAGAAAACTGTAGGGTCGGCGTCTAACAGCAGAAATATTAATTTATTGGTGTCAGAAAAAAATTGCAATTGATCTGTTATTGCAGTCAAGAATTTACATCTCGGTTCCCAGTACCATGGGCAGACCATGACATAATGAAAAAGATCCTCCACTGACGTTTTACAGATACAAATACGTTGTTCCTGGGAATAACCCGTAACATAGAGTTTGCCTTTTTCACAGCTGCAGCCCACGGGGTTGGCACTTTCATGGAGCTATCCACTATGGCCTTGATATCTCTTTCCCTCTCAGTTTCAGTCTTAGCATAAAGACACCTCTCTCCGCAAGTGACAAAACTATTAAGCTACAAAGGAGGCATCTGTCAGCAGCTTTCACTTTGATGGTAGGTTTTCCCTCCTACTTTAAACATTAAGCTACATGCCTGTTTTGTGAAAACTTCTAGTGGCTTCCCAACACAATAAGCTGAAGTGGAGGAGCTTTATAGTTTTGTCACTTGTGGAGAGAGGTGTCTTTTAAGGATGCAACGAGGGACGTAATACCTCCGAGACCTCGTGATCTGGAACGTTTCGCTGGACATTTTTCTCTCTCCTTTAATCTATTGTTTGTACTGTTCCGACAGAGGTTGTTGATGGACTTTCATTGTACAGTGTTTTGTACTAAGATATATACATATACACAAGTATGAGTCGGATTTAACGACTGTATTTGTATGTATATATACTCCTGGTTGGATCAGAACATTACTGCTGGTGAAGAGAATCACTTCGCCTGTGCCCTTGTCCAGTGTAAATTCCCTTCAGTTCAGGATCAGGGGAAGAAACAGTAAAAAGAGGGGTCACCTCCTCCTTGCAGGCAAAGACGTGGGGCACCCTCACCCTTGGCTCCAGCCCCGAACAGGTTTGGCCTCCTGTCTCATAGGCGGCCAGCGCCCAGTTCAGAGGATGCAAATTCCAGGGAAGTCGCCCTGGGAACTCCCAGCGTCCTCTTGCTCAATGGTGGACATCCTCCAGACTCCACCCAGGCTGGGAAGGGTTTATAAACCGGCCGGTGTGGACCTGACGAGACACTTGCAGTGGACTCTTCCGCAAGCAGCGCCATGGCACCCAGGATCCTCTCCCTCCTCCTCCTCGTGGGACTCCTCTCCATCTGGGCTGGGATGCCGACTGCAACGGAAGCACAAGGTATATGGGGAGACCCCCCACCCACCCACCCACTCCCCCAATGGGCCCGTGTTGTCAGAGGTGGATTTTTGGAAGCCCTGCCCCCCCCACACACACACACACACCATCCAGGGCAACTTGGAGCAGGTGGTGTTTCCTGTCAATGTTACATTTGTCGAGCGAGACAGACGGTTGAGGCTTCCACGGGTTTTGTTGGAGCTCCGATTGGCGATTTGGTTTTAAATTGATTAATTCATGCACTGTAATGTTTTAACTAGGTTGTATCTTAACTATGTCGCACAGCGTCCTGACACCTCTGGGGGAGGTCGGTTTAGACATGGAAATAATAAATACATAGATAAATGACTGTTTCCCCCCGTGGAATCATTCTGGCGATGCGTAATCTTGGCAGTTCCCCAGTGACCAAGGATGGGGCCGGGGGATCAGTCCCCCTGGGGGAAATGGCGGCTTTGGAGGGAGGGACTCTCTGTGGTCCCCGCCCTCCCCAGGCTCCACCCCCCAATCTCCAGGACTTTCCCGACCTGGATCTGGCAACCCTGCCCCCCCTCCCCGCTGGTGGCTGGGCTGGCAGCAACTCCAGAGCTCCCAGGGTTTCATCCCGGGTTGCCAGGCTCCAGGTGGGACCTGGAGATCTTGTGGGATTACAGCTGGTTGCTCATGAGCCTGGTGTGCCCTCCTGGGATAAGGGGCAATGCAGGCTGAGGCAGGGACAGCTGAAAAGGCGGTGCTCGATGCTCGCTGGCAGCTAAGAAGACCACTCCCCCGGTGTGTGGAGGGGGAGGCTGTGGCTCCTGCGCTTTCATGCCAGGATGACAAGGATTGTTGGGCATGGAACAGATCTTCTCTCTTAAGCCTGTGGGTAAGACCATCATGCCAGGAATCTACAATGCAGGAACAAGTTGGCGACCTTTTTAATGTCTAATAAGTTGGACTCTAGCCATAGATAGTCA